GACTACCAATGCATACCAGGTGCTATCGGCTACATTGCAGAGGAAGAAATTGGCAAAACCACTGCTGAGTATTCCTTGACTAAGAAAACACTACAAAATTCATGGAACTATAAATCAACAGGTGGTTTGATGGCACAGACAAAAAGACATTATGGTTTAGAGTCCTGTCCAAATAGTCATAATAGGTTGATTTCTACAAATACAGTGTATTACAGTTTATTATACATTTAAAAAAAAAAAAATAGCAGTACAGAGCTAACACACTGGGAACAACTTGATCTACTGAGTCACGATGACCTGGAGATATTTCGTAGAAAAACATGCTGCTGGTTAAATAAATCAAGCACTTGAAAGCCTGAAAATTCCTAGAAATGGATGTACATTTGCACAAAAGTGAGGCCAATGAGGAAAAAAAATCCTAGGAGTGGGAAGAAAGACCAAAACTAATTTTGACAGTAAGCTTAACAGAGAGTTGCTGCAAATACAGCCCTCACTTCAGAAATAATGTTTGACTATTTCTTTCAATTGTTTCACTGATTAATAAGGTTTTGTTCCATGATTACTATTATTATTCTGAAAAAATAATGTCATCTGTCACTCAACTGTTATCAATCAAGAACTCTAAAAGGTCCATTTCAATATTTTGAAGAATCATATAGTTGGGTTGCTATGAATTTTCCGGGCTCTATGGTCATGTTCCAGAAGCCTGGAACAGCCTGGAACACTCACAATGATTCCAGCCATGAAAGCCTTCAACAACACATAATATAGTTGTATTAGATAGTATGTAACACTTTTGGATTTCAGATTTTTTTCATGTACTGGGATTTTTCAAGCACTGGGATTGTGGCGCAGCTGGCTCAGTGTCAGCTGCATTAAGATCACTCTGACCAAAAGGTCATGAGTTCGAAGCCAGCCTGGGTTGGAGTGGGCTTCCAACCAATTGTGTAGCCTGTTGTCAACATTTGTAATCCGAAAGACAGTTGCATCTGTCAAGTAGGAAAATTAGGTGCCACCTTAAAGTGTGGGGAGGCTAAATTAACTGATTTATGAGGCCATAAAGAAGACTCCAGCAAAGCACTCCAGCAAAAAAGCATGCGGGGAATGCGGAAGTACTTCATCAGTGTCGCAGATGGACAATGAAAGCGACAGCTCCCCTGGCGGCCAGAAAAAGTTAAATAGCCTCTGTGTATGTCTGTATACGTTGTATGTCAAATTGGCATTGAATGTTTGCCACATGTGTGTACATTGTAACCCACCCTGAGTCCTCTGCGGGATGAGAAGGGCAGAATATAAATACTGTAAATAAATAAATGAATAAATAAATAAATAAATGTTTTGGAATACCCATATTTGTATATATATACACAATGCATATACACACGCAATTGATTTCAAAGTGGAGATCACTGATTTTAGTGTTTATGTATATTTATAGTTTATGTTATGTTTGCCATATATATGTTGTGCTCTGCCCTGAGTCCCCTTTGGGGTGAGAAAGGAAGAATATAAATGATTTAAGTAAATAAATATTTGGAAGATGGGATCCACACTGAAACACAAACTTCATTTATGTTTCATATACACCTTAAATACTTAATTTAAAGGTAATTTTAAACACTATATTTTAAATAATATTGTGCAATAAACCAAGTCTGCATACATTAAATTATTTTAAAAAACCAAAGGTGTCACTATCTCAGCCATTCCTGTGGACAAATTTGGAGTATTTTAGATTTTGGAATTCTAGATAACAAATGCAAGGCTGGGGTGAAAATTGCTGGAACAACCTTAGATATGCAGATGACACCATTTTGATGGCCGAAAGTGAGGAGGAGCTGAGGAACCTTCTAATCAAGGTGAAAGAAGAAAGCGCAAAAGCTGGTTTGCTCACTGTTGCTCACTTAAAAACCCTATATTACAAATTTCTCCTGAAAGTTACTTTTAACATTTTTCAAAGAAGGTTGCAGGGGTATTCTGGCAATCTTTTGCAGGGGGCAATTCTGGCATCTTAAAAACTAGTAACATTTATTTTTATGATCTATCATCTACTTCATAAGATGCATATGAAGAAGTGAGTTTTAGCCAACAAAACATTATGCCAATTAGATTTTTTTTAGTCTTTAAGGTGCCATAAGATTGTATTTTGTTTGTTTGTTTGATAAAACAACAATAATGTGCTACACAGTGGTCCAGTTAATGGGTGCAGAATACATACAAGAAATATCCAGTGGCAGGTTTGCATTTTATTTTTTAAAAAATAAACCACTATAAGCTTTCCAGAATTAAGGACATTCCTTTGGATTTGATGGATGATATTATACATGTTCGTAATCACTGAAAATTAGAGGATTTTAAAGTAAATAGCTTGGGATACCTAATGTCTGGAATAATAAGAAACAGATATTAAATATATCATCTCCATGTATTTATGTTCTCAGAAAAAATGTTAAAAATTACACACTGTTCATAACAGCAGCACTTGTCCTTGAAAAGCAGAACCACTCTAATGGTTGACAATGTGTTCATATGCTGACTAATTCAACTCAGGTGATTTTTTTTTCTGGGCATTGCTTACAAAGATTGAAAGGATTATTGTGGAACAAATAAAATAAAAGGGTAGTTTAAACATTCTGGCTGTGTTATAATATTTGAAACAGCCTCCCCCACTCCCCGCTCCCTTTATGATGGACAGAACTAAGTGATATCACTTGACCAATGAACACATGCAGCTGTCCAAAATCCCTCTTTTCCTTCCCTACATTCCTTATGACTTCAGTGAGCTGAAGACTTGCCTACCCATATGGTCAAAATCCTACACTGAGGAATGAGCATAACTTTTACACTTGCAAAACGATCTGATATTTGTATAGAGTGGACTCATTAGTGATTTGTAGTGCCATGAAACCAACTGTACAATCAAATGTGTTTGCCCATCTGTACATGTAATGCACAGTGAGCAACCATGCAGGCCTGTATGAAATGCATATACGCATTCATGAACAACTCCCTTGCAGTAGCTGTACTGGCGGCTAGTCCATTTCCACACACAATTCAAAGTGGTGGTTAAGACCTTTAAAGTCCTTTACAGTTCTAATCCAGGTCATTTGAAGGACTCCTTATATTAGCCAGTCCATATTTTGTGAATCTTCGGAAAAGGCCTTCTCTATGTCCCATCACTTCCTTCAATGGCTGTTCCCAGGACCTGCAACTGGCATTCATCTCCATAGATGATGCCCTTTGGATCTTTCTCACCTCTTGAGGCTTTCCTGGTTTAGATGCTGAATTAACTCCTGCTGCAGAGGAAGGTGCCATTCTTGTCCCTCTGCCCAAATAAACCTTTTCTCATTGGTGAGACAGTGATGAGAAAAGTAATGTCATGAGTTCAAAGGTCATAAGTTCAAAGCCAGCCCGAGGCGGAGTGAGCTTCCGACCAATTTGTGTAGCTTGCTGTCGATCTTTGCAGCCCAAAAGACAGTTGCATCTGTCAAGTAGGAAATTTAGATACCGCTTATGCAGGGAGGCTAATTTACGACGCCATAAAAATCTCCAGCAAGCATGCAAAGAATGAGGAAGTGTCACAAATGGACATTTGTGACACTTCATCAGTGTCACAAATGGACAGTGAAGCAACAGCTCCCCTGGTGGCCAGAATACTCTCATGAAAAATCTGGAATTTTAAATAGCCTCTGTGTGTCTGTCTATATATGTTGTGTGTCTATGGTATTGAATGTTTGCCACGTATATGTACATTGTAATCTGCCCTGAGTCCCCTGTGGGGTGAGAAGGGCAAAATATAAATACTGTAAATAATAAATAAAATAAACAATACATGTCTGAATGAATGTTCTCCTTCCCGCTACTCTTGAATGTACTAAATCCTTTTAAAGTCCAACTGCAGTATCTATTCAACAGCAGAGTAGACTTTGCACTTTTGCTGGGCTCAGAGGTGCAGGACCTCTGTTAAAAAGAGAAAATATCTGTGTAGGAATTTCTAAGTCCTTCAGTACAACTCTGTGGCCACTTCAGACAGATGCTGACCATAGAATCATGCTGGAGGACTTACAAATGCTTAGAGAAGTGTTCTCTCTAGGAATCTTTAGGTTATCCCAGCATGATTCTATGGACAATGTCTGCCAGAAGTTGCCCACAGCATCACGCTGGAGGAATTAGAGATTCCTAGTGAGAACATGAGTCCATCCAAACAGACTTTAAAACCGAGACCTGTCTGGATTTTTACCAGGAGTGTCCAAGCGACACCTCCATTAAAAACAAATCAATTCGGAATAGCCTCAGTTGCTCCAAATTAATTAAATACCCTATTAGATCCAGGCCTTCCTGAAAGGCCCGGGTCTAATGGTGTATTGGGCCTATGGAGACCCAGCCTACCCATTTGCCACCCTGAACCTTTTGGGCTCCTGGAGGCACCCAAAACCCTCTCCTCCAGCCCCCAAAACAACTCTTAAAACTTTTTTTTTTTTTAAAAAACTTACCCGGCTGCTTGTATCCTCCTGGTGCAAAGATGTAGCCACCCTCCCTAGGAAAGCCTGGGTTTGGGGTGGGGGGAGTGGAAATGGGAACCCATGCCAAAGCAGGTTTCTTAAATCTGCTTTGGTGTGGATTTTGGCTCTGTCTGCAAGTGTCTTATATCAATCATGATTGTGGATAATCAAATTGACAAAAGGCAAACCAACAAATATGCACTACACACAAGTCTTATATTCCTATCAGTAAGCACTCTCAGATAACACCAAGCACATATAAAGGAAGAAATAGTCACACACATACATGAATACATACATAGATATAGGAACCAATTGGATGGTGCCTATTGGTGTTTCAGAATCACATATAGTTAATAATTTCTTATTATCAAAACAAAAAATGCTTATGTTTTTAAAGTGAAGGCTGTCAGAATCATCCTCCTACCTCGCTCGCTAGGATCCCTGGATTGCTCTCCTTATAGCTGGACCCTGTAGTGCCCAGGAGGGGAGTCTTACCTTCTTCCAATGTTCCAGTCTGCTCTGAAGCAGGAGATGGGGGCGGGGATGGAGGCAGGTTAGTTGTTTCTTCAACTGCTAAAGATTGAACAGTAGACATGAGACACAATGATTACTAATTTTGATAATGGGATATGCCAACATTTGCAGGGAAAGAGGATAGCAACATCTCATAACATCTGAAATCCATTTAATCCAAATCTTTAGTTTTTACATAGCCCAGTATCCACAATAGTAAAAGTTCATTTTGGATGATACAGCATTATGCACAGAAATCTACTCCAATGTCTTCAAATACATTTCTTTTAACAAAAAGTACTTAGAAACATCAAAACTGATATGGTTTGACATTATAATTTACATGCCTTTGAGAAAAATAAATCCACAAGGTAAAAGTAAGCAAAATAGTAGAGGAAGAAAATAAAAAAAACAAACATCAAAGTCCAGGGCAGGGGAGGTGCAAAATATGGGGGAACTCGACCATATATTAACTGTACACTTACATGTATTTGAAAAAGTGGCATTTCACGATTTTAAAGGTTTATTTAAAAATAATTCATAACACCACTTTCTCTTTGTCTACAACAGTCTGGGGACGAGCCTTCAAATGTGTCATTTCAAGGCTGGCCATTAGCCAAGGAAACAACCCCAACTCAAGCATCCAACTATAATACAAGGGTTATTTTTTAAGTATGGTCCGTTTTGTTGTAGACACTAGTAGTTCATGCGCATACCGCAATGAGCGTGTGCGTCGTGTACCGGCATGCCTTGGGAACAACTGTGCTCAGTTTCTGCTCTGTAGCTAACCTGTACGGTTCTGTTCTGTGCTTTAAAAATGTTTAAGACTATCAACTCACCCGCCACATATGAGGTTCGCTCAGTGATACGGTTTTTGTCAGCAAGGAACCTGCCTGCTGCAGAAATTCATCGACAGATTTGTGAAGTGTACGGTGATACAGTTATGAGTGAAAGCAAAGTTCGTAAGTGGGTATGACAATTCAAAGATGGCCGTGACAACGTCCATGATGAGGACCGCTCCGGTTGCCCTTCTTTGATTACAGACGATTTGGTGGCTTCAGTTGAAGCGAGGATTTATGAAGAGGGTATTTTAAAATTGGTTCAGAGGTATGATAAGTGTTTGAACAAACTTGGCAACTATGTCGAAAAATAGAGTGAAGTATGTACTTTCTGAAAATAAATTTACTTTTTTGAAATAAACTTTCGTTATGTATTTATGTTCCAACGGACCTTACTTAAAAAATACCCCTCACATATGAAATACATATAGAGTGTGGGAGCAAACAATAGCTTCACTAGGTATGCAAGAAAAACACCAAAACAACATTTTCTAAATTATTCCCTAAAAATACTGGACAATATTTGGCCAATGTTTTAAATTCTATTAATCTCAGCAGGAGAATGTAGTAGAAACTCAAGTCTCTTCCACTGAACCTAACAGACTTTAAAATAATTAATTTCATTATCATTGCCCCCATTGTTCAAATTGCTGCATGTAATTTCAAGAAAAAAACATTTTGTAACCAAATCAAATCCCTACTCAACCACAGAAACCCACAGGGCAATCTTGGACAAGACGCATTCTGCTCCCAGTCTCAGAGGAAGGTAAAGGAAAGTGCCTCTGATACTTTCACCTTAGGGTCATCCTGACTTGGCAATAACTTGAAAAGGCACATTTCAAGATGCTGCATCCTATTCCCCCAAGTTGTTGCAGCACCATGGATAATTCCTTCGATAGTCTGAAATATAACCCAGGGTTCATTCACTGCACCCCTAAAGTGGACGCTGTCAGACACCACTGCATAGTGATGTTATGTATTTCTTTGGGTTTTTTCAAAATGATGTCAACCTTCATTCAAGCCAAACCTAATATATTATTCATAATAACATGCACAGTGATATGTGTCCAATTACCTCCGTAAACTGGGAAGTTTCATAGACTCTTTCCACTTAATCAGGTGCTAACAGACTAAGTCCCAAAAAGCTTATGCTAGAATTTTGTTTTTCTCAGTCTCAAAAGTCCTACTGGGTTTTTTTATGTCTTTTAATGTGGCTATTTCTTCAAATATGTTCATAAATAGATTTTCATTCTTGCTATACTCGGGGTATTTTGGCAGAAATAATTACATAATATTCAGTTTTGGGGTGCCACTCAGAAAATTATTTCAACATACAGTGTTCAAGGAACCCCTATGATAACTGAAAAACCACAATGTAGGGACGCTATACTGTATATGTACAGTATAGCTCCACCCACTCCTCTCTCCCCTTCCTCCCTCTCCCTTTCCTATTTGCCTCTCACTTCCTCCTTCTCCCCTCCCCTTGTTGGAGCCACCCTTCTCCCTCCTTCCCCTCTTCCCCACTGGCATGGGGCTTTCACCCAGTTGCCCGAGGAAGAGTGACCTGGAAGAAGAACCAGTGGAAGCTGCCTTGGTGACGGCCCTCTCCAACCCCGAAGGAAGAAGTCCCAGCGGAAGCTGCCTTGGCGGCCCTCTCTGTGCCCCTTGCCAGTGCCACTTCGGTAAGTGAGGTTTATAGATCTGTGTATACAGTGTTCCCTCAGTACTTGTATTTTTTTTTAAAAAAACCTGGGAAATAGTGAGTTCGCAGGAAGTGAAACGTGGAGTACCGAGGGAACACTGTATACCACAGCTATCTCTCCGTTCCGAGGACCAAGATTTATTGGAAGTTCCCAGTTTTAAAACCTTGTGTCTAACAGCAACTAAACGCAGAGCCTTTACAGCAGTGGCACCATCGCTCTGGAACACTCTGCCACCAGAAGTCCGTGCCTTGTGGGATTTATCACCTTTCCACAGGGCTTGTAAGACATATTTGTTTCGACAGGCTTTTGATCTTTGATATGTTGTTTTAAATTGTGTTAGATTCGAGTTTGTTTCTTGTAAGCTGCTCCGAGCCCCAGGGGAGTGGCGGCATATAAGTTTGAATAATAAATAAATAAATAAATATCACTCTTGGATCGACCCTCCCTCCCTCCCTCCCTCCCTCCCTTCGATATCACACAATATCTTTGTTCCACAGATAAATTGTCATTTTAAAATTCCTCCCCAAAAAGAATTATCCACACCTTGAAACCTTGATAATCTGTCATATTTTTATGATAAAAGATGGTCACTTGGACATGTGTCTGAATTAGAATGACACCTCGTGAAATCAATATTTTAGTATACTAAAATGCTTTATTAAGTAGACTTGTTTAAAATTGGCATATGATAACATCACAATCTTTATCTGTGGCTTGTTTTCCTCATTTCCTCAGCTCCCCACCCTGGAATATTTGCTGACACAAAGTCAAGAGCAAAGCAAACCAAATGCAAAGCATAAAAAAAAAAGAAGCAAACTAGGAATGGGGGAAATCAAGCAATGCTTTGTTTGATCATCTGCTATGAAATTCATGGCTTAAGCAACAAACCATAGCTGACATAAACCATGGCTTTTTGTGACATAAATGCGCAACTAGTATCTCAGCTTGCGATACGTAAAATAAATAAACAAACTAATGCACAAAAAAGCTAGGCCACAGCTACAGTGCAAAAGCTTGCTGTTTATAACACAACATCCAGCTGAGATGACTTGCTTTACCTAAAGGTAATGGTGCTGGCTGATCTTTGTGCTGGGCTTCTTTTTCCTGTTCACCTTTCAGAACTGCCACAGCTTCAGCTGTTACTACTTGGACTATCCTTGCAGATACTTCTTCTGAGACAGGATTGCCAACAAGACAAACAAGAGCACATTAATGGAAGAGATATAATGAAAAAATTAATAAAAATGGAGCCTTTCACAAACAATGGTCGCAGACTAAGGTTGCAATTCTCTACACTCACAGTACAATAGGGATATAAACCTTCGGATATTCCACTCTCTCACACAAGTATGAAGCACGAATGATGACTATGGGACTAAGTGCTATGTTTTAGCAGTTTTATTTGTATTTATATGTTTTATTTGATTTTACTGCTTAATGTGTTGTATTTGTACATTTATATTGCAATGAGGCACTGAATATTGCCAAAACTGTAAGCTGCTCAGAGTCCCCTTTGGGGTACAATAGAATCAAAGAGTTGGAAGAGACCTCGTGGGCCATCCAGTCCAACCCCCTGCCAAGAAGCAGGAATATTGCATTCAAATCACCCCCGACAGATGGCCATCCAGCCTCTGTTTAAAAGCTTCCAAAGAAGGAGCCTGCACCACACTCCGGGGCAGAGAGTTCCACTGCTGAACGGCTCTCACAGTCAGGAAATTCTTCCTCATGTTCAGATGGAATCTCCTCTCTTGAAGTTTGAAGCCACTGTTCCGCGTCCTAGTCTCCAGGGAAGCAGAAAACAAGCTTGCTCCCTCCTCCCTGTGGCTTCCTCTCACATATTTATACATGGCTATCATATCTCCTCTCAGCCTTCTCTTCTTCAGGCTAAACATGCCCAGCTCCTTAAGCGCTCCTCATAGGGCTTGTTCTCCAGGCCTTTGATCATTTTAGTCGCCCTCCTCTGGACACATTCCAGCTTGTCAATATCTCTCTTGAATTGTGGTGCCCAGAATTGGACACAATATTCCAGGTGTGGTCTAACCAAAGCAGAATAGAGGGGTAGCATGACTTCCCTAGATCTAGACACTATGCTCCTATTGATGCAGGCCAAAATCCCATTGGCTTTTTTTGCTGCCACATCACATTGCTGGCTCATGTTTAAGTTGTTGTCCACGAGGACTCCAAGATCTTTTTCTCACGTACTGCTCTCGAGCCAGGCATTGTCCCCTATTCTGTATCTTTGCATTTCTTTTTTTCTGCCTAAGTGGAATATCTAAGTGGATAAGATAGAGCAGGAGAGAAATATAGTAAATAAATAATAGATAAATAAATACTTGTTACCATTTTATCCTTGCTTAAACAACCTTTTGGAAAACAGTACAGTTTTCTAACAGCATCTTTTGCAGAGAAAACACATTATGAGCACAGAAAATAGGGTTTCTGTGCTGAAAATCTGCTTTCTGGGTAGAAAACCTGTTTTCTGTGCAGAACTGTTACTTACTGTATTTGTTTGTTTTACAGAAAATGTAGTTTCCTGTGGGGTGGGGAAAATGCCCATTTTCACACAGAAAGAGTCATAGGATTATTCTTACCAGTTTTTCCTAACACTTGAAATACCCTACAGTTTTTAAACCATTCTGACTATTCTTTCTGTCCCTATTTTGATGCCCTAAATGTACTTGGTTGTACAACATATATAGAGGATGCTCTTAGTTCTGTAAAAAATTATTATTAAACAGATCACTCTTCAAAAAATGGACAAGTTTAGATTCTCATGGAGATACAGGCTGAGTATTCCTTATCCAAAATGCTTAGGTCCAGAAGTGTTTTGGATTTAAGAATTCTTTCTGGAATTTGAAGTATCTGCATTTGCATAGATTACTTAAAAGAGGGATCTTGGGGATGGGGTCCATGTTTCAACACAGAATTTCATTAATGTTTCATAGATACTTTATACATATATCCCGAGTGTAATTTTATATACAACTAGCCGTCCCCTGCCACGTGTTGCTGTGGCCCTCATGGGGGTTCTGTGTGGGAGGTTCGGCCCAATTCTATCGTTGGTGGGGTTCAGAATGCTTTGTGACTGTAGGTGAACTATAAATCCCAGCAACTACAACATCCAAATGTCACGATTCTATTTTCCCCAAACTCCACCAGTGTTCATATTTGGGCATATTGAGTATTCTTATAGAGTTTGGTCCAGATCCATCATTGTTTGAATCCACAGTGATCTTTGGATGTAGGTGAACTACAACTCCAAAACCAAAGGACACTGCCCACCAAACCCTTCCAGTATTTTCTGTTGGTCATGGGAGAACTGTGTGCCAAGTTTGGTTCAATTCCATCGTTGGTGGGGTTCAGAATGATCTTTAATAATAATAATAATAATAATAATAATAATAATAATAATAATAATAATAATTGATTGTAAGTGAATCCCAGAAACTACAAGTCCCAAATGACAAAATCATTTTTTTGAGTGAAGGACATACGTTGGGTTGTTAGGTGTCTTGTTTCCAAATTTGGTGTCAATTCGTCCAGTGGTTTTTGAGTTCTGTTAATCCCACAAACGAACATTACATTTTTATTTATATAGATTTTGAATTTTTTTTTTGCATGAAACAAAGTTTGTCTACACTGAACCATCAGAAAGCAAAGTGTCACTTCCTCAGTTTTTTTGGATTTGGGAATTCCAGATAATTCAACCTGTACCTGAAACTGCCTTGTCATAATGGGCTGGCCATAATAATGAAATCTTTTGGAATACTATCACAACTAAACTGAAACCTCTAGTAAGGAGAAATTATGTAAGGGCACTTCCAGACAGCATGAAAATGTGGGTTTAAGAGGGAGGACAAAGAAACCCAAGATCTGAGAACAGATCCTCACACAGAACTGTGGATCCTGGGATACCTTCCCCTGCCATCCTTACAGGTCTCCTCTACCTTGGACAAGATGGAGGGTGGATGGGAGACTTCATTATGCACTGAATTGTATATGCACACATGTGAATATCTTAATATATATATAAGAAGATACGCATGTGCACACAGGAGGTTCAGCACAAAATAAACTGAATTAATTTTTTTTGCCAGATTTCTCCCTTCCTCTAATTGTTTGTTCAAGCTCTGTTTAATATTACACAGTTTAAAATAAAGAGTTTCAGAGAATTGTAATTGCTCTCTGTTTGTGCTTCCTTTAGATCAGCTGTGTGTCTACTTCACAGCCCAATCAGCTGATCAGCTGTTTCAAGCTTTTTAAAAGCAGACACATGCTGGAGCAGTCTCCATGGGATGTGTGTGTGTGTAGGAAATCACATTTTTTTGTGAGTACAGGGATATACAGTGATGCAAATATGCGAATTTTGGCCAGTATTGGGACAAAGGGGGAACTCTTTATCCCATGTTTTCCAGCCGTTGCAGCAAGTCAGCATGCATTTAGTACTAACGTTATGTAACTTGCCGTGTTTTAATGCAAGTTTTAGGAATTGTGTAGATGGGCCCTAAAAAGCTCTCTCATGGAAATACTCCACTTTCTTTGCCCAGAACACTTGATGTCTGATAGAATAAAACTGTTTCTAAGAGCGGAACACTTTGGCTTGGAATTGTTCTGAAGTAAAGGTTAGGGGTAAGTGGGCAAGCTTGGATGTAAAACAAAAGCAACATGTAGCATAGCAGAGATTTTGTTTTCAGGAGTAACTCTAAGATTAGGCAGATTGAAGCTGACTCAGGCTGCACATTCCTGCTGAAGACTGGAATGCTGTAGGAGAATACATCCCTTCCACAATAATTTCCTGGTTGGGAGAGCATATGCTCTCCATCTGCCTTGTTTTAGCACAAAAATGTAGGTTTCCCTGATGCGTGTGGGAGAATCAATCTCTAGTTGCCATCACATCGGGAAATTTGGCAGTATACTGTCAAAATTAACCCCCAAATACCTGGATACTTTTCATTCTTCCACAAGATAGACTCCTAATTTTGGGGTTACATTCTGGGTACCAAGGAAACACTGGATACTTTGCAGCTGAATGTGTGGCAGACTATCACTCTGAAAAAATATACTTGCTGTTGGTGTCCTTTAACATAATATAACATAATGTAATTATGCTTTTTGTATATGATATTTATTTTAATTGCTTTGTATTGTATTTGTTATTGCTTGTATTGTTGTATTGTGGGCTCGGCCTCATGTAAGCCACACCGAGTCCCATGGGGAGATGGTAGCGGGGTATAAATAAAGTATTATTATTATTATTATTATTATTATTATTATCATCATCATCATCAAAGCAGTTTGATACCAGTTTAATTGCTTTGGCAACATCCTACGGGATCCAGGATTTGCAGTTTAGGGAGGGACCTTTGGTATTCTCATCCAGAAGGTTCTTCTAGTACCTGTCCACACCATATTTCCCATGATCCCATGAGGAGTAGCCATGACAGTTAAAATAATAATAATAATAATTATTATTATTATTATAACGATATGAGGATTTAAAGATCGAACGGCAAAGACTGTGGCACAAGCCAGTCAAGGTGGTCCCAGTGGTGATCGGCACACTGGGTGCAGTACCTAAAGACCTTGGCATGCACTTAAACACAATAGGCACTGACAAAATTACCATCTGCTAGCTTCAGAAGGCCACCGTACTGGGATCTGCATGCATTATTCACCGATACATCACAAAGTCCTAGACACTTGGGAAGTGTCCGATGTGTGATCCAATACAACAGCCAGCAGACTGATCTTGTCTTCTGTGGACTCATCTTGTTGTGTTTCAAATAATAATAATAATAATAATAATAACTACTACTACTACTACTACTACTTTATTTATATTCCACTCTGTCTCCCCAACGGGACTCACTGGGCTGTAATTATGAAGTTTGAAAAAAAAAGCCAAACCATGTAAACACAGCAAACATGTTTTTGTAAAACACTTACTGCCCATCCTCACACAGAAAATATAGAAGTGTTACTGGTATTTGAAACACTTCTTAAATTATCTAGAATGAATTGGCAACCTCAGGCAGTTCTCTGACTCAAACATTAAAAACTGGTGACGTCTAGTTTTTTTCTCCTTATCACAGGATTTCCCAAATACACTAAAAGGGGATGAATGGCTTATTCATAGTGGTATATAATTTGCTTCTTTTGTTACATGCACTTA